AATGGTAGCCTTACTGGATATTATGGGAGATGGTGGACGGATCGGATACATAGGGAACCCTACCGTGAACGTCGCCTCATACCAGACGGGGTATCGAGAATTGATATTTTTGGCGCTCATACCTGACGGGGTATGGAGACGGCCCGTTTAACCCTCATACCAGACGGCTTATTGAGGGATGGTATTTTTGATGTTCATACCAGATGTGATATGGGGGCAGCCAGTTAGTTGACAATGTTGAATAATGGTTCACGCGTAATGAGGCATCCCTATGGGCCTCCAGGGATAACAGTAGGCAAATAAAGAGGAAAAGTTGCTGTTCTTACTTAGTTGAACATGAGATTATGATGTTGTTGAGCTATTGTCTCTATAGGTCAGTTTTGAAAATCTCGCAATAATAAGTATGCAATAAATGGTTTTGCTCATGATAAATAAATTTACTTAAATTAAGAGCTCCATTGGTTATTTTTATGATTTTTACCAACCTTCAATTTATGTATCGGTGAGTAATGTGATATTCTTATTGGGTTAGTGTAGTTCACCTTTTCATTAACTATTTCATATCAAAAGGACCAAGACCCAGATCTCAATCAATAAGAGGGTTGTGAATAGTTCTCCATCCGGACTCCCTTCAGAAGTTAGTGAATGTCATCCTAGAATACTCAGGATATTACCTTTTATTTATTTCTTTGATTTTGTTTGTTCTTTTAGAAGGATCATTCTCGTAATCCTATTGGGTATTCTAAATTATTGTGTAAGGAATGTAAACCATAATTCTATTGTTTCGCTTCCGCAATTAATTCATGACTTTATTTCCTTTTTAAGTTATGGGTTGTTACAGCAAATGCAAGCAAATAGGCATGCAAATAAGAAAAAAAAAAATCTTTAACTCACCAAAATTGTTTATCTTGTAGAGATCATTAAAGGTTTAAATGATGGCTGAACTAGATCAAGTTTAATTATGTCATATTTTCAGAAATTGTCTGATTGGCGTAAGATTAGTTAAGATTTGCATTTTAAAAACTCATACGAATCCGACCTCATAATATATATATATATATATATATATAACTTAATGGTTTGACAAGCTAATTGAGGTGGCAAAAGTAAGTGGATAGATATGGAAGTGGCAAAAAGATCATTGATCTCGTCGGAAACTAATTAGAAAAAATTTTCTAAAGTCGTCTAGCCAGTGCAAACCGAGTTAAGATTTGAATTTTAAAAACCTATATGAACTCTACCCTAAACTCTATATATATACATAAAAGATTATCTATTCTAAAATATTAAAAAAATAAAAATAATAAAGAAGACCTAAAACATATATAGAAGTTCAAGAATCCTAAAAACTTTTAACACTACTTTAGTGGATGTAATATCTACTCTAACTCTCTACGTTTAGTCTTCACTCAGTTGTATACCCGCTTTCCTCTTTATCTTTGCCACTCCTAGCCACTTGTTGCTGAGCTTCTAAAGCTCTAAAGCTCTGCAACATCATCAGCACAACCAACATCTAGTTTCCACACCCCATAGTCCACAGTTGATAGGCTTTGTAATATCCCCGCCTTCACCATTTAACATCTTCATCTCTTGGTATCACCTTTGCCACTTTCAACATTTCACCTTTTGGTTACTCAATTTCAAATCTTGCCTTATCACCCAACATCTTTACCATAAGGCACATGGTGAGATAGGCTTCCCCAAAAACTCTCATGGTGTTAACAAATTTACGTCAAGTTTAGAGTAGTTTTGGAATAATGTATTCTATAACTAAGGTGGGTTCATTTTTGGTAAAGCCATCCACTAACTTGTCATGTTGCCATCTTTAAATAGGTGAGGTCAATGGCCCATAAGATATAGGAATTGAATAGTAAGATCTAAAAATTTCTGAGTATAAATCAAGGACCAATTTCGATTATAAATATAAAATATGACTACTTTCTTTATAATAAATTATAAGATGTAAGAATTGAATGAGAATAAATAAATGTAATATATATCTCTTAGAAAATTTTCAATTTTTCTTATATTTTCAAAAGTTTATGATGTATCTATTTCTAATTATATCATCTATTTAGACA